TCTTTCCATCTTTGAGACCTTTTGTGATATATATTTTTTTAAAAAATTACCCTCTCAGTGTAAAGGGTGATCCTTGGTTAGGGTTCTTTAGAAAAAAAAATCATAATAAACTCAAAAGGATAGCAATGAATGGTTTTTCGAATGGTAAAAGAAAGATGGCCATTTTTCATTTCAATTGTGAATACTTTTCTTAAACATCATATATTGAACAAAGCTCATGAACCTGTATAAAAAATTACACATCTTTGAGACATATCTATTTTATCTCTGGTAACAGCTTACTTTTTTGCTCAAATCATCTCCTCATATTAATGTGGATGAGTTCTCAAAATTAAATCCTAGAATTATTGTTATCATTGTCTAAATATTCATCATTTGAAATTTAAGAATGAGAATATAAATTTATGAAAGGTAACAGAGCATGGAGTAATGATCGAGTGAAAGAGAAAATGTAATAAAATGCATTAACTTACCTTTATTAAAATGATAACAATTGAAGTCATATTGCAAAAAGAAATCTACCATTACTCAAAAAGAAATCCTAAAATGACAAAAATCCTTCAACCAGCCTTATCTTCATTCTTCAAAATTATCCCTCTATGCGATCAGGTGAAGAATCTCTATTGACATATTACCTTTAAATTCATTGTGACTCTCCGGACCCTTTCTGACCAATTTATTCTTGATTGTCACTCAGAGCACTAACATTAGGTGTTGTTGCTTTTCTTTGATCAAAACTTACTATTCCATCATTGATCAATCGTTGCACCTTATGCTTTAAAGTAGTGTAATTTTCAGTAGAATGATCAGTAATTCCATAGTGATAGTCGCAGTGGGCTGTAGGATCATACCACTTAGGATAGGGTGGCTTAAGTGGCTCCACATGGCTGGGGACAATCAAATGACTATTATAAAGTTCTCAATATAACTTCGTATAAGTCATGAGGATTGGATCAAATACAGATTTTTTTGAGTAATCCGTTGTTCTCGTGAACCACTTGCTGGGTTAATAGGACGAATTTGGGTTCTTGCAGGAGCTTGAATGTTAAGGCTATATGTAAGATCTTGAAGACTAAAAATTGATTGGTATGTGAATGAATAAGGTGGTTGTGGAGCTAGCTGGTATGGATAGGATAAAGTATTATTCACAGCAGGATAGTATGAAAAGTAATCTTAGGGTGGATAAGATTGATAACCCCTGAATTATTGTCTATCAAAGCTCACAGCTTGAGCTTAAGTTTCTTTTTTTTTTTTTGATGCCTTCTTGGTTTCTCTTCCTTTTAATTTATCATTTTTTATGACATTTTTAATAATTTCTCCAGAGATCACCACGTCAACGAAATTCTTTGTTGCATTCCATATCATCTTTCATAATAAGGAGATTTCAAAGTGCTGACAAACAATACTATAGTTTTTTTCCTCAGTCAGAGGAGGCTGCACTTGAAAAGCAATAACCTTCCACCTCTAGGCATACTTTTTAAAAGTCTCATTGACCTTTTTCTCTAGGTTTTGTAAGGACAAACGATCAGAAGCCAAATCCATGATATGTCGATATTGACTGATAAAATCATAGGCCATGTCACTTCAGGAACAGATGCGTGTTCTGTCTAACTGGATATATCACCTAACAGTAAAACAGTAAGGCTGTCTTAAAAAATATGCATTAGTAGCTTTTTATCATGTGCATGGGCTGTCATCTTTCGACAATACATGGTAATATGAGTTTTTGGGCATTTTATGTCATCATATTTTTTAAATTCTAATACTTTGAACTTAGGAAGAATGACCACATCAGGGACTAAGTAAAGCCCAGCAGCATCAACTGAACCATAGAAACCAATTTCTTCCACAGCCCGTAGCCTTTGTTCTAGCATACTAATTTTGGAGTTTTCTTGAGTTTCCACTTTTATCTTTTCCTTATCTTTTCTTTTCAGTTCATCTAAATAAGGGATTTCAATTGGTTCAACTGCCTTTTCAGTAAAGACAGGATTCACATAATTATAATAATATCCTGGATTTGAAGCTGATGGTATTTCAGGATATATAGAATATGTGAAGTGTTATAGTGAAACCTCTTGTGTAGACTGGGCTTGAGGTGGACCAAAACCAAGTGGATATAGGGGGTCGGTCACTTCTTGCGATGCAGGACCTTATTGGCTTGTGTTCTCTTCTACTCCTTTCTCCTTATTTAATTTGTTGAGAGCATCCAAAATTTTACTTAACTCATTCTCAATCTTTTCTTGTACTTTTTCTAACTTTTCAAATCTGTGAAAATTTTTTTGCTCCATTTGTCTGGTTCTGACTCTTGTGTTGTATCGATGGACAGGGTTCTCACTAGATGAAGCTATCCTTGAACCTTTGACACCACAATTATGATTAGAAATGCTATGCTATGCTTTATGTATGACATGTTAATGCACGAATGAAATACACATTTTTATAGATGAAATCTAATATGAAATGGATGCAAATGATTGTATTAAAACATTATCATGAAAATAATGCAGATGCATAAAATCAGACAAACAACATAGTTAGTTTCATAGATTAAATGAAAGTAATGCCGAGGCATAATGTTACATATGATAATGAAAATGATGCACAAAGTCAAACAATCAAAATGATTAGATAAACACCCTTTTTGTGTCCTAGTTTCAAGGTATACCTATCATTGGGTAAAAATGGCTCTATCTTAGGTTTAGGCACTTCTAAAGTTTACTATGTGTGGTTCAAGGTTAAAATATAAAGGTTTCCAAATTGCTCCTTACATCATTGTCCGTCACAGACTAGTAAGGCACCATAATCCTCACCCATTACAAGTTACAAGCGAAAAATGTTCAATTTGAATGAGAGTATTTCGCTAGCCACTACGGAGGCATTAAACCTCACAAAAATAATAGATACTTTACTCTCTCTTAGAGGGACGGAGCTCGGGTATAGAGCTCATGTTATGCATATGCATATGAATGACATAATTAATAAAGTAAATAAACATGAATGAATAAAAAATCTATACAAAAGGTTCAATTTTATTAGGCTTTTGGATAACACAAATTTATTTGCCGGCCTGACTCTCGGACTTCCCTAGTGGAGTCGCTAAGCTGTCATAACGTCTAGATCCGGAGATCTATTGCTAGACATTGGCTTGAAGGAGTCGCCACCAATCTTTTTTATCTAAGTGCAATTGGCCACATAAGGAATCTATTCTTTCAGGAAACACCTAAGTTTAAGGGTCCCTAAAAAAGTAGGTTCGGGTCTACTAACCAGAATAGGGTTCGAGAGTTCGAGAGTTCGATTACGTGTGAGAAAGGTTATAGCACCCTCACAACGCCCATCAAAAGATGATACCAGCTTAATTTTATGTTATCCAATAAGCCTTAAAAATTTATCAAGTAATTAATTATTAAAAATTATTCTTAATTGACTCTAATACTTTTAGCAGAAAATTAAAAAAATCTCCTCATCTCAAGAGTATGCAAGAAAACTACTGTTCATTTGCAGAGGCTCCATCGTCGGATTATTTAACATTAAAAAAATTCAAGAAAATAAAAAGAAAGAAAAAATGATTGCTTTTATGTAAGAAAAATTGCTACTTTCAACTTTTCCTCAAAAATTCACTTTTGAAAACTTGTTTCTAAGAAAAATCGATATTTTCAACTTTTCCTCAAAAAATTCATTTTTTGGAAACTTTAATTTCAAGGAAAATTGATACTTTCAACTTTTTCTCAAAACCTTTTTTTGAAAATTTATTTTTAAGAAAAATTGATACTTTCAACTTTTCCTCAAAAATATATATTTTTTGAATTTTATTTAAAGAAAATAAAATAATAAAATAAAGAAAATAAAAATAAAAATAAAGAAAAATAAAATAAAAGTATTAAACAAATATAATTTAATCAATAAATAATAATAATAATAATAAATAAAAATAAAATGAAAAAAAAACCTGAAAACGGCTCGGCTCGGAGAAAAAAATGGCTTGGAGACGCGACTTTGCTCGATTCGGGAAACGGCTCGCACTCGGGTCGAAAACGGGTCGACGCTCAGGTCGGGTCGGATTTTGACAAAACACGTGGATCCTCTAGGTTACTTAACGCAGAAACGACGTCGTTTTGAAAGGGTATATAAGGCTGATTCCTTCATTTTTTTTCAGCAGAACCCTTTTTTCCTCTCTCTCTTCCTTCATCTTTTCTCCCTTCTCTTTAAAAATCTGAAGAACTTCAGTTGAATGCCCGTCGGATTCTGAAAATTTTCATCGAAATCTGAATTTTTCGTCGAAAGTTCATCGAAAAACTAATCGATTTCTGGGAATAGTTGTCGAAAATTGAGAAGTTGGCTGAAAAATTCAAACTTGACCAGAATAGTCACTGAAAAATTCAGTCTTCACCGAAAAATTCAACCGAAATCTGAAAATTTTTCAAAAATTTTTAGAAAAAAATTCACAGAAAAATCTCCAAAAATTTTTCACCAATTCCTAGAGCTATTTTAACGCCTCTAAACCTTTTTTCAGCTTTTAAATCTTCTCTCTGTGTTTTTTTCTCTCTGTTCCAGTACCTATTTATAGGGATTGATGAGAAAATTTTTTGATCAATCTCAATTCCCCCTGAGATTTAGATTCAATCTTTAAATCCAATCCTAACTCTGTCAGCCCTAAATTTACGCCAGAATCTCAACTGTTCCTAATCCTAATCTCCATCGGATAATCAAAAAAATTAAAAGAAGAAAAAAAATAGATAAATAAATAAATAAATAATATAAAAAAGATAATATATTAATTAATAGATAAACAATAATTAACAGATAAATAATAATATATAAATAAATAAATATATAAATATATTAACAGATAAAAATATACATTAATAAATAGTCATAATAAATAAATAAATGATAAATACATAAAAAATAAAGAAATAATATATATATATAATATAAAATAAAATATAAAATAAAAAATAAAAAATAAAAAAAATAAAGTGAACCAATCCATTTAGATCAGACTCAATTAATTCAGATATGGATCAAATTGATTGTCTACATTGCCAATTATGGAAGTGCTAAGATCAATGTAAGATTTACATGGTCATCGTGTAATACCACGAAGGAGTTTAGCGTCACAGATCCCTGACTAGTCAGACAAATTAGCCGGTTGGGCCGTTACAATTTGCAATTACCAATAAATCACAGGGCAAAGAACATATCAGTAAGGGTCCCATTGATTGTCTAAGCAAAACGAATGACGAAGACCATTAGGGAAAAGTAGAATTTAAGACCATCACGACGAGTCTAGAACTAAATTTAATCACACCTGACCTGACTACTAAAGCATGTTGTGTACAGAACAAAAGAAGATTGATTTCTAAATTACTTTCAAAAAATTGCGAAAGGTTAACTTGACAGAACTATATCAAAACATCCATAGCTTCCCTTGGAAGGATTTTTTGGCAGGTTAGTTATTTAAATAATAAACAGAAAATAAGCACCATGAAAAACAAAAAGAGCATCTCACATGTCACAACTATCAAAATGCAATTGATCATTCGTTTTTGGCTTCACCATTAATTAGCCTGAGCGACTACTACTCAGCAAAGACACCAAATCGCCCTTCTTCATTTTCGAAAATCCCTTCAAACCGCGAGATTTTGCAAGTGCCCTGAGTTCCAGAAGCTTCAATGCACTCAAATCCTCATTTTCAATCTGCTGTTCCCCATTCTCCTCATCAACATCATAAGATTCATCCTCTGACAACTCATCCAACACTTCAGGATCTTGATAGATTGAGTCAGACTCAAGCTCTGGCTCAGATTCAGACTCTAGTTCCTCCTCTAATTCAGACACATGATCATGTGCAGGAGGTGACTCAGCCCATCTCAAATTTCTCTTCCTATCTGAATTGACGGTCTCTTCACCGGAATAAATTGACTGATATTTCATTTGTTGAACAGGTGACTTCCGTCGGAAGTTTGATGCTGGTCTGCTTAAACTAAGGGTATAAGGTTCTTTGGCCTCACTCCTCACTCTATCATTTGAATCAAAGAAACCCGAGCTTTTATCTTTATTGCAAGAGCCATTCACTTTTGGATGATCCAAATTCAGGTCTCTGCTGCTGCCAATGCTGTTTTCTTTCTTACCTTGTTCAATTGAGTGTTTCCTCAATAACTTAACAAGAGAATCAACTGTGTCACTCTCTTTGCCTTTTCCCCGTAAGGCTTCAGTTTTCTTATCTTCTTTAGCCACAGTTCTTTCTTTAAGTTTAGCTAGGACCTTCCTGAAAAGCTCCACAATCTCCTTCTCTCTTGGACCTGGGGCTGCAGTGGCTTGAGATTTTGTGGAACCAGAGAAGGAGAAAAATGGCCCATTTTTTGAAGATAACTTTTTAGATTCATCTAGACTTTCAAAATTCTCTCTCTCTTCATCTTGCCTATTCCTCCCTTGAAACCCATGTCTTTGCCTCGAGAAGTCAGGGTTTCTCCTGTGACCACTAGAACCTGCTCTACACACAAAAGATATTCCCCTGGAACCACATTTCAAAGATCTAATCTTCACCTGTGAACAAATTCTGTGGTCACTATGTGAAGAGCAAGGAGATAGAGTCACTGCTCTTCCAGAAATACCTGAGCAGGAGAGATATCTGCTGTCTGTTGGTCCATAACCTATAATAGATCAGTATCCAGTGACACAAAGTTTAGAAAACAACCAACTAAGAAGCAAGATTATTTTTGGGCCTATTTCTTTATCCAGGACGCACTTGCTGAAAATTCAAATAACTAAAAAACACCAATTAATAACACAAACCGACAATCTAGCCCGGTAACTACCTTTGGTAAATCCCACAGTCAACATCAATCTTCACAAAGTTGCAATCACTTTAAACAGGAAAAAAATGAAATTGAACTTTCTCTCAAATCAAACCTAAGCATGCCCACATAAACTAATCTTGTCAGAGAATATCTAAGATGAGCAGAAGATCATAAAAAGAATGAAAAGAAAGTAAACAGCTCTTTTCATTCTAGACAATATAACAGGAAACCTTCAACATTAGCAATCAAAGGCTTCGTTGCCAACTGGCCCTGCATTCTTCTAAAGGTGATGTGCATAACAATGTCCTCAACTTTGCTCTATGTTTTATATTTTATTAACTAATGCAGATAATTAAACCTCAATGCAGTATCTTTTGTTGTGCTTCCAAAGAAATCACTCAAAACCACCAATCAACCATAAAAAACTTAGCTACAATATTAGCACTGCGTGAGCCACCATAGAGACAAACTCAAAGATCATATAACCCCACGCCAACAGAGAAGGAATGACGAAACCAGCACATCAAGACACGATTCTCTCCTCCTCTTGCTCATCATAAATGAAAATTACTTATTGAAGATGCTAAAATGAAATGCATAAATCAATAATTTTTCGCTTCCAAAAATGCAATTAAAAATATGCGAAAAAAAAAAGAACACAATTAAGCAACCTCCTAGACCACAAGAATACAGACCTAAACAAATTTAACACGTTAAACTGAATTAACTTTAAACAAATTCAGAGAAGCCAGCATGAACATCCAAAATAATCTACTAAGGATAATATTAGTACAGATTAATCAGAAAATCTTTTAACAAAAAAAAAAGGACCAATTGGAATAAGTTACAGAAAAAAAAAAAAAAAAACAGCTCTGTTTAATGAAAATGGGTTTTGTAGAAAAATACCCAGTACAGCCCTCAACCTCGAATAGAGCAAACATTTCCTTTCATTTAATTTCTCACCGTTTCTTGGCAACCAAACAGAAAGCAGAGGAGATTGAAAGGAAACCACCACCACCACCCCCCCCCCAAAAAAAAAAAAAAACAAAGAGGAGAAATTTACCAGGAACGCTATTGGAAACGAGATGAAGTGCATGCGACATGAGCGGGGGAGTTCTGGAGAAGCTTCAAAAGAAAGCTTTGTGGCCGTTTTGCATTCACTTGGCAGGGGTTCTGTTTCTTTTTTCTTTTTGTTTCGAACGGAGAGGTTTTTCTCCTTCCGCTAAAATTATATAAGCCAAGGGAGTTCCTCGGTAATCACTGATATACCCTTTTGTTTATGGGCAATAGAGGATTAAGGCCTCATAAAACTCTCAAACGGCCCAATTCCCGTCCACTTTGTTCGTTTGTTTTGTTTCTTTGTTTTTTTTTTTTTTTTTTTGAAAGTATCTTATTCGTTCCCATTTTGCTTTTGAAAGAAAAAAGAAAAAAAAAAAAAGCAAAAGAATTTTCATGCTCGTCGTCTCCTTTGCTAAGGTTTGCAGTATCTAGGTTGGTAAAAAGTGCGTAAAACACCCTTTGAAACCGATCTGACTTGGCGACTGAACAAAAACTGAGAATTAAAAATATATATAATTTTTTGTGACATGAATTAATAACATGGATAAAATTAAAAAATTAAAAAATAATTTTCCCAGGAATAATTTTTTTTTTAAATCTCAATTTTAAGCATATCATCGAATGTTTTAAGGATAAACAAATAAACCTATATAAACACTCATCTTTTTTTTTTTTTCTCCTTCACTTCCATGTTAAATTAAAAAGATTCCCTCGGAGGAAAAAGGACAATAAAGATGATAGATACACACTAATTGAGTCAGCATCAAATGTGGGCAGTTTAGGCTTTGTAATTTTTCACCATGTCATCGACGTCAAGTTCTATTTCCGACACTGGAGAATCCATTCGCATGCTGAAATCACTGTTGGAGGAACATGAAAGTTTCAGCAATCAACAAACTTTCACCTGATGTAAAATACAAATGGTTTGAGTTATATAATTACTATATAAAACAGCTACCTGTTCTGAACAGGACCATGATCCACAGCCGTTCGCAGACAATATATAACTCTGCCAACTATGTGGATCATGGGAACTGGACCAAAGAACCGGCTGTCCTTAGCTTCCTATCATCGAAGAAAACGAAAACAGAGAAAAATGTAGAATATGGAAGAGGTTCTACCAAAGCCATATAAATAGCTGGATTAATGTTATTCATTACTCAGAAAAATCGAGTTAAAAAAACTTGGCTCACAATACTAAAGAGATATGCAAGTAATAGATAATAAGCAGTCTTTAAATCAAGATTATTAACGGGATTACTGACTTCTGTTTTCGCAAATCCTAATGATGCCTATTGATTTATATAAGAATGGCAACTAAGACTTTTATCAGTTGTATTACTAACATTTTATACCTTGGGCTTCAATTTTTCATTGTCAAACAATACCCAGCACTGATCCCTTTCAAGAACAAATGGCTCATCTTTTTCATCCTTAGACACCATTTCATATCATTCAGTGGCAGCCAATCTTCTGACCAGACAGTTATCTGAATTGTCAGGGTCCTTCAAGACAACGACATTTCCTACAAAAACTCAGACTGTCAAGAAGTTATCCATAAAGTTAGAAAACCTTAAAATCCAAAATAGAAGAGTAAATACGAAAGATATATTAGAAAGAAAAAGCAGGAGAGAGAGGATCATAAGAAGATTCTGCTTAAATAACATTGATTGAATCATGACTCATGAGTGCGGATGCCATGACTGCATGCTTTTTACATCTGGTTATCTTCACACATGCATAAAGGTATACATACATTTGTATGTGCATGCATATTTACAAATTATTATGGATTGAATAGCTGAAAATAAATAAGTGCTTGATCTTGCAAACCCAATTGTTAATATAACCACATGGCTTGTAAATACATAATTAAATGGAAGTCAGGAAACTGATGTTCAGAATGAGTAACAAAAATTAAACTTAAACTAATATAACCTATCACAGTGGTTAGATATGCACAAACACTTAAATGATTGAAGAGGATTCATTACAGTTTGTAATAGACCAACTCAAACCAGAGTTATGAAACCATAAGCTTATTTTTCAGGGGTATAAGAGCTTGCTCATTTAAATTTTCATAGTGAAGTGCATCTTTGGGAAACTGTACCAAGAATAACTCTGAAAATGTTGCAAAAGCACAATTGAAAAGAGAAAAATCCTTCATTACAACAAAACTACAAATATATATGTATAAATATATATATATATATTTAAGAAAAAAAAGAGTAGTATTACGTTAGGTCTGCAGCTGGAATCTTCCGAAGAAGAAGAGTGACCCCTTGTTCTCCAATAGTTGGGCCATCGGCTCTCCTTTATTCCAGTATAAGTAAGTCAAATTTCTCTGAAACACATTTTTACAAACTGTGTCCTGGAATTCCCGGTCACCGATTTGACCTCTCTTATAGCTCTGTTCCACATCAAGATTCCTGTTAGAATAATATAAAGAATGCCAGCAAGCAAAGACCTATCCAAAATTCTGCATTTTGAAACCAGTAAAATTATACAGCAGAAGGAAATGAAAGCATTAACCAACCATAGAAGCCATCTAAAATTTTAAAAGTTCCATTATTAACATAAGTACCTCCACATCATAAATTAAACATTAAGACTTTACAAATAAAGCTGATGGACCCTTTTTTTATATTTTAAAAATATTCCTCTAATCCTCTTCAAATTTCCAACTTTTTTCAGTAAAAAGTTTTATTGATATGAAAGATGGTCTAATTGATAAAATGTCTACTAATATAGGATTTTCTTAATATAATGAAATTTGAAGTTGCTAGCTTGTTCTTAAACTATTGATAAGCTGCTGGTACAGAGAGACTCCAGTTTTGGCCATCTGGCCAAAGCCACAAGGATGGATCGTGTTTTGCTTACATTTGATTTGTCCATAATAGTAGAAGCCCAGCAAACAGCACTGTGCGTAACTTAGGCAAAAGTTGCAAAATGATATATTTCTATGATCGATTGACAAGAAAAGTTGTAGAATAGCAAATCTCATCACAATTCATCACAAAAGATGAGAACACAAAGTGTAGTTTCCCTCCACCTATGCACATCTGGATCTCCTGAAATAGGAAGCAAGTGCAAAGAAAAACAGTGAAAGCCTTTAACAAGCCAATGGGTTCCCTCTCTTCTCTATTTCATCTCAATGTTGAAATGAAACATTGACAAAAAGATCTCTAACAGAAACTCATGAGCCTTACTTATTGCCTTCTTGTATGCTACAAAATTTTCATATCAATTCAATTGCAGCATTTTCAATTGACTACAAAGTCAATCCAAAAGGCTGTCAGTCTGCTGCAAGATTGGTGAAACACAGCAAAAAAGAAGGTCATAAATTCATTCAAAGGGTAAAAGTAATATTTGAAAACTTGTGAAAGAAGCAGTATTATCGTACAAAGCCAGTTAGATTGTTTTAAACATAGCATTTCCTTGTTTTTATATCAATGCCCCTTTGAAGAAACGTGTACATGACTTAGAGAAGAAATTTGATGTCATGCCCACTAGATCTTAAAACAGAATTGGGATATGTAAAGAGTACTAAACGACTGTGATTTTTATTTAAAATAAGATGCCCAACAATAGTGGCAGAAATAAATGTTCGTCTTGATCCTAAGGCATGTCACTCACAAAATACAGCAAATGCATTCAGCATTTAATTTATTCAACTCAAAAGTCTAAGCAACAGTAAATGGAAAATTTTACTCCCTGTAGATGATACAAATTGAAAAAGAACCAAGACTGATTGCCCTCAATCATCTTTGCTAGGGACCAGTAAACTGATTTATTTCCCATCCACTACCCAAATTATACAATTAGTTACAACATGAAATATATGATTTTCCACCTTTTCCCCAACGACCAAACCCCACATTGCTGGACTTAGAGCACCATCTCTTTTAATCAAATAGGCTTCAAAAACCATACGTGCATCAAGACTATAATGCAAGTGAATGCATTATACTCTTTTCCCCAACTAAACCTAGATTCAAACATTGATTTTAACATTCTATATAAGAAACAGTTTTCAAGCAAAGCATTTCCATATATACATATATATATATATATATTTGTTTTCATCATACTTGATAAATTTTAGCACACTGTCTAAAAATTTCACTAAACGCGATAACTTGCTCTATAATTTGACAATAAAGCACCATAGGACTTCATAAAAAATCATTGAAAAGAAATATAAAAATATAAGATGACATTCAGAAATCAGAACCATTATCATTAAATCCAGTATCAAGATAAAACTACCCATTCTCAAAACCCTAATGATTACAAGATGGCATTCAGAAATCACAAACATTATCATTAAATCCAGTATCATGATAAAACTACCTATTCTCAGAACCCTAATGACAACAATCTAATAATCCAAAAAAATACTCCTGCATTAAAAGAACAAATTGAAAACATCAGGAAATTATCCAAATCTAAAAAAAAAAAAAAATTCCCCTTTACTCAATAAAACAAATATAAAAAGAAAAACTGAAATTCAAAACAGATGAAATAAACCATACCAATGACCAAAATAATAACTTTTTCACATATTAAAAAAAAAAAAACCTCAAAAAAGAAATAAAACCAAAAACGATACTAAATGGGAAGAAATAAGATAAAGAAGATGTGACCTTCCAGCCGAGTGTTAAGAAGTATTCGAGCATGTTAACTATATATCCACACCAAGTCCGAAACCATTGCCCAGTTCGAATTAAAACTGTTTTGATCCTTTTTTCTAATCTTTGAGTTTCACATTACGAGAATATAAGGTCTCTAACCGTCTTTGATTTTTTTTTTTTACTTTGTAGTTTTTCCTTTTTATTTTTATATCAAACGGTAATTTCAATTTTTAACTTTTATTAAACGGCAATTTAATATTTCTTTTATATGAGAATTTTTATATACCTTTTAAAAACGGTTAATTATGATTAATTATCAGATTGATTTGATCATATTTCATTTAATAGATGATATTTTTTGAAATATATAAAAATAAATAAATATTAAAAACAAATAATAAAAAAGAATTTAAAAATAAAATCATAAAAATTATAAAGAGTAGCTAAAATCACACTTATTAAGATAGTATTTATTAAACAAAGATGTTTTCTCTAAAATCACACTTATGTTTTATTATTAGGGCCCGACAGTTCAACACTTCAACACTTCAACAATGCAGAAAATATCTAGAAAACTGATGATATATAAAAAATAAAAAAAAGTTCCCTGTCTATATGTAAATAGGAAAGAAAACCATAATCCAAT